TGGTAGTCTCATTGAGTCACGAGAACTCATTTTCAAGAGAGACCTGTTTTGAGGAGCAGGTGGTGGGGGTTAAGGGCCTTGCTCAAGGGCCCAGAGTGGGGCAACTGAGGGTGGAGGCAGGTGTGGGTGTTTCACCTTTTCCACCCACAGTTTGATGTTGACGGTACCGGGAGTTGAATCTGCGACTTTCCGATCACAGGCCCATCTTCTAACCTCTGCGCCAAATAATAAGTTAATAACATTATTTATCTGAGGAGCAGACTGCTTTGAATTTAACTCCATCACAGACTCTCATCTTGAGCAAGCATTTAGGAGACAGTGGAAAGGAAAAACTCCCTCATGAGGAAGAAACCTTTAGCAGAACCAGACTCAGTACAAGTGATCATCTGCTTCGATTGGCTGGGTTTGAGAGGAACAGGAACGAGGAACAGATACACAATGGCAGGTCAAGAATCACATGTTAAGACATAAACAATAATAGTAATAGTAATAATAATAATAATAATAATAATAATAATAATAAAAACTATTCAATTTTAACAATTCATTTAAGGAAATTGGGCCAATTTGTCCTCCAGTAGTCTAAGCCTATAGCAGCATAACAAGCCAACCCCAACTATAGGATTTATCAAAAAGGAAAGTCTTAAAACTGGACAATGTGTCAGCCTCATGGACAGAAACCGGAAATTGGTTCCACAAGAGAGGAGCCTGATAACTGAAAGATCTTCCTCCCATTCTGCTTTTGGAAACTCTAGGGACCACAAGTAAGCCTGCAGTCTGAGAGTGAAGTGCTCTGTTAGGAAAATATGGAACGATAAGATCTCAATTATAAGATGGAACTAGGTTGTTGAGAGCTTTGTAGGTTAGAAGTAAGATTTTGAACTCAATTCTGGACTTGACAGGGAGCCAATGGAGATAAACTAAAACTGGAGAGATATGGTAATAAAATAAAAATAACAATAATGGAGGTACTGGAACCATCGAAAAAAATATCAGTTGGGGCAGGACTCACCTTCGCTCCTGCCAGACCATCCTGACCAGGGAAACCTCGGTTTCCTGGAGCGCCCTAAAAAAAGGAAACACAAATTTGATTAGATTGTGTGTGAGCTGATGTTGATTTGGTCAAAACTAAAAACTAAACATACAAGGTTCATCTTAGGTACTTACTCTTTCTCCTGGAGGTCCTAGTGGCCCAGCAGCTCCAGGTTCTCCTCTGGCGCCTCTCTTTCCTTCTTCTCCAGCAGGACCAGGGGGACCTTGAGGACCAGCAGGGCCCTGGAAACATCAGGCTTTTTCAGTATCTCTGCACAACACCAAGTGTCTCTTGGTGCATTTGGATTTAAGGTCTTTATTTTTAGGTTATAAAACAACTTTGTAAGGAGGCCCACCAGAGAATGTACTTTTATCGGAAGCTCTGTGGTTTTAATGTTGAAGAATGTTTCATTCATGTTTTATTGAGTCTCTTTTAACTTTCACCTTCATCTGTTGGTTTGGACTTTTGACTTGGAAGAACAGGAACAAACTCTCGGGGATTGTCAGGATGTGCAGCTAAACTGCTGTCATAGTCCTACAGAACCTCACTGACCTACACAAGGCGGGGTCAGTGAACAAGGCCAGGCTGATTCTGGCAGATCCTGTTCACCCACTCCATGGTGAGTTCAGGTTGCCTCCATCTGGACGCAGGTATCTGCTGCCCAGATGTTTGACGAACAGACTGAAAAACTCATTCATCCCTGTAGCAACAAATCTTCTCAACAAACAATGATGACTTCATGTATTATTTCAATTTCTCAAGGTCTTGTCTAATATGGATGTTTTGTACTGACTGTGAAACAAATTGCCCCTTGGGGAAAATAAATATTCTTGAACTTGAACTTACAAGCTCCCCTTTTGGTCCAGATTCTCCCTTCAATCCAGGCAGACCAGGATCTCCCTAAATTAAAACAGAAACAACAGTTTAATGTCAGAAAATAGGGAACTGCGAAAATTCATCTTGTTTCAGGTCTTCCTGAGCTGTCTTACAGACTGTCCTTTAGGCCCCAGAGTTCCAGTTGCTCCCTGAGGTCCAGGTGGTCCACGAGGGCCGGGGAATCCAGGAGCACCAGCAATACCAGGAGCACCCTTCGCAGAACAAGAAACAATAAAATATCAGAGTAAAGCAACATAGGACATCGTTTAAAAGAGCTAACTGATGAGTCTGAACACAGAAAGAGGTGGACTTACAGCAGATCCTTTGGCTCCAGGGATCCCGTCAGTACCTGGGTTACCCTGCACAGACCCAGATGAAGTATTTAATTATAGTGTAGCAGCCATAATTAGATACGGCTACAAATGGTCTTATTGAAAGGATAAATAAAAATCAGAGTTAAGTTTTGACAAACCCCTGCTCCGGCTGGTCCAGGAGATCCTGGTGTACCAGCTTCTCCGCGGGGACCCTGTTGTCCCTCAGCTCCACGGACACCAGTGGGACCAGCTTCTCCCTGGCAGGACACACGACGTACATCACATAGAAACAATAAAATATGACTGATCTACAACTTAACCAACAGGTGCAGTTTGCTCCATCATGTCACACAGACTGGTTCTCTAAAAGGTACCACTGAAACTGGGCAACTTCAGCAACAAGAACCAGATGTAAATAAAAGTAATAAAAACAGGATTTGAGGTTAACCTGATCCGCCCTTTGGCATTTGTTTTACTCCATCAGGTCAGATTTAGATGTTTGATGTGATCAGTACAAACCTTAGCTCCTGGGGATCCTGGGAAACCGGGTGCCCCAACAGGACCAACTGGGCCCTGCAGAAAGAGCACAAATCCTCAGTTTTCACTTCATACCTCATCATCATCTTCATACTGAGATAGCAATTTATTTTAAAATATATCAACCATACGTACAGGGGGACCAGCAGGACCAGGCAAGCCATCATTTCCACGAGCACCCTGAAATGAGTAACAACAGGACTCAGAACTTTGCATCAAAATTACATGAAAAAAAAAAAAACATCTGAATGAATCTAAACGTCTATGAACAGTAAACAAAATTCTGTTTTTTTGTCTAAAGTAGGAAATGGTTACTCACTGCAGATCCAGCAGCTCCAGGACGTCCCCTCTCACCAGGCAGACCACGTGGGCCCTATAAGACAAGACATGCAGGTGTTTTAGTCAAAGCTGCTCTAACCTAGCTAGTACACCTAAAAACACCTAAATAAGCTGAGTCTGGATTGAGATGCTGTTTGATACTTTTGTGCCGTTTTAATCCACAAAACTCAGATAAGCAGGACACTCACCATCGATCCAGGGGCACCGTTCTCTCCGGCAGCACCAGTCTCACCCTGATGAATGCATAGAAGAGAAAAATTTGATTTAAGCAGAAAATAATGTGAATATAACATGAAAAAGTGGATATTTGCTTTAAGAAAAGGTACATAAAATGTTGTCTGGTGGCTGTACCTTGGCTCCTGCAGCTCCCGTCTCTCCTTTAGCTCCATCCAGACCAGGATGACCCTACAACAAGTCACGACAGATCAGCATCGAAGCTGCAGCTTTGTAATTCTGACCCGTCTGTTTAAAACTCCAGGGATGGTTGTAACACTCACTCTGTGCCCTTTAATTCCAGGAAGTCCAGGAGTTCCAGGGAATCCACGAGCTCCCTGAAACGAACATACAGTTTTATGTTTTGTTCAACGTTTTGTGTCTTTCTGTAACTGCAGGGTAGTTGTACAATTAGAAACAGGAATAACTAAATAGTGAATAATCAGTTTCACCTGAGGCCCTGCAGGTCCACGCTCACCAGGTTTGCCAGGTTTGCCAGATTCACCCTAAAAAGTTAATTGAACAGAAAGTTTAATATTTGTAGCTGTTTATTATGATGCAGAAGAAATACATTTAGGATTTTGCAATATTAGGTAATTTAAGGTGAATGTTTAACCCTGATAGCACTGTTAGGAGACAGACAGCGCCCTCTGGTGGCACAAAGGGTTTTGGTGCACAAAGATTAATTGGGGGGGAATAAAAAAAGTTAGGCACTACAGTACACCAAAAACATATTTATTTTAAGATTGTACATGAAAACAAATAGATTTAGCTTGTTTTATATTTTACAGAAATGGCTTGAAAAGTGGCCTAATTTAGATTGTTGTGGTCAATGTTCCATTTAACTGTGAAAGTTTAGTGTCAGCTTACATCACTTCCTGGTTTTCCAGATGGTCCAGGTGGTCCACGAGGTCCCATTGGTCCCTGTCATAAAGCAAAGAACATATAAGCATGACATAATGTTGTCTGCGTGTCACAGAATAAAAACTTTAAAAGTTTATGTGCTGCAACGTGCGTTTCTGTCGTGAATGAGAAAAATCCATTTGTGGTCATGGAACTAAAACAAAGTCATTCTACAGTTTATATTTGTTTGTTTTTATTAAAGATGTTGTTGATGGACTTCACCAGATCTATCAGACTCAAACCAGTTACACACAGATGCATTCTGGGATTGATGTCGACACTTACAGCTGGACCAGACTCTCCAGCCTCTCCAGGGGAACCTTGGAAACCTTGTGGTCCCTATAGAAATGACAATATGTGAGTATTTCAACAATTCCTAATGCAAGTATGCATAAACTATTTGATGGCAATACTAAAAATCACAAGATTCATTCCTGATTAATATGAAATAACTTACAGGAGATCCAGAAGGTCCAGGGGGACCACGGGGGCCCATGGGGCCCTGCAAAAGCACAAGACAACATGTGTCAATCCTGCACAGATTATTGTTAAACAGCTTTTAGCTGGGAAAAAAAACACAGTTAGAAAAATACATGTTTTACATGTTTTAGAGTTTTAAACAACAAAAAAAGCAAGAGCATCACACATAACATATGATAAAGCAATTTTTTTTATTTTTGTCATTCAAAGGCATGAAATAAAAATGATGATAAAGAAAAATCATTGAGCCACATGGTGGCAGCCTCCATCCTCACAGAAGTTTGTGGCAGAAAATTTGTCTTCATTGTTAAAAAAAAAAAAGTGAACTTAAACCTAAAGAGATCCGACTGGACGTCTTACCATGGGTCCCTGCATCACTCCCATCTGAGCTCCTCCAGCCTTCTCGTCAAAGCCTCCAGCCATCTGGGCAGCAAAGTTCTGTCAACACAAAGAAACAGCAAAATTAATGAACAGACTCGGAGTCAGTTAATAAGGTTTATCTGCTACATGAGGCACAGCGACTGGTTGAAACTGCTGTTCTCACCACAGTTTAATGTGTTTTTACAAAGACCTGCAGCTCTGTGTGGCCGCCCACTGTGTCTGTTCTGATTAAATGCACTTAAAAATGTCTATATATTACATTTTTTGTTGCTGAATCAAGTTAAATGCAAACAATATGAACAAAAGATAAATATAAACCCTGTGATATTAAATGTGGAGTAGGTATTTTCCATTGTCTCAGTCCAGCTGCACACTCTGTCACTCTCTGAACATTTTAACCCTGTGATCTGGGTGTTACACTGTCTTGTTCTAAGTCTTTAGGAAAATGTCATCTGTGTCCTTTAACTTACACCTCCCAGCCCTGGTGGTCCAGGTGGGCCAGCGGGGCCAGGGTTTCCAGGTGTGCCGGGTTCACCGTCTCTCCCTCGAGGTCCAGGATTTCCCTGATTAAAAATTTAAAAAGATGAAAAAAGATGTCATGTAAATTAATATAACTTCAGGTAATGTTCTGCTGAGCACGACTTTATAATAACCATCAAAAACTTTGTGTTAACTCCATATTTCAGAATAGTCAGTAAACGACTGTTCTGCTCTGATGCTGTGACTATCTCATGAGTCTGGATGAAACCGCACGGTTTAATGAACATTATTATCTTAATATCTTCATTTATCCCAACAGAACACTGTCAGATTTTAGACTTTTAGCATTAACAGATAATAATGTTAAATATTTTATTCCATTAATAAAACTTTAACCATCTGTTTTTTTTTTTACCTTATCACCCTTAGCGCCAGCTTCTCCACGTGGTCCTTGCTCACCTGGGGGACCCTGAAAAAAAAGGTAATTATTACCTTATCTTACTTTTATTTAAGGTACACTTCATGCACTTTAAATACTTCTATCAACTTTACTGAGTTTGGAAAGTATTTGTATATATTTTTCTGGTTTTAATAATGAGAATAAAACAGGAAGTAATAATTACCATTGGGCCAGCTGGTCCTCTTGGTCCTACAACCTGCAGAGAGATACAACAAAAAGCTTCTGTCAGGTTCCTGAGCTCAATTAACAAATGCCTTTTTATCACCATCTTTCACTCAGAGTCCATTTTTTGGTTCTTTCTGACCCAGAAAATCTTCCAGCTTAGCAAGAGGTAGATCCGCTCAATTAAATCTGACAACAATTTCATCCGACAAGACGTTTTTTTTTTCTTCTAAAATCCATCACCTCCTGTTGACCTGTGGTCCAGCTGGCCTGTTTTCACCTCACATGCACTTACAGCAACCTCGCTGAGAAGATCTAAGAGGATTTGATTGGGTTCATTATGTCCCTGGAATGTTGACCCTTTTTTTTCTTATTTAACAGAAACTCGGAGACATTCTGTGATTCTGCGAGTTCGTGTTTTATCAGTGAGTCGTGGCCATGTTTCATAAAGTGGTTTTAAAAATTAAAAACAGAAACGATGAAAAATACAATTCATTTAAGAAAAAAACCCGAAAGATGTGAACTTGGTGGGCATGATTAATATTGTTGAACATTTAAATACTGGGATTCACAACAAACAAACATAAGAAAGAACATTTATTTTTTGGATTTTATTTTATTTTTTTAACTTACTGTATTTTTCAGAATATAAGGCGTACTTAAAATCCTTTAATTTTCTCAAAAGTCGACAGTGAGCCTTATAATCAGGTGCACCTTATGTATTAATTCTGGTTGTGCTTACTGACCTCAAACCAATTTTATGTGGTAATTGTCAATGGGTTGAATAAAGTTTGACTTATCTGACTGTTTGTTTGTTTTGTTTTTTTGCTTAATGCGCCTTATAGGCTGAAAAATACGGTAGTTTATAGCCTCATAGTGGTGTTTCAGTTAAAGCATCCCTAATATGTATTGATTAAGGACCAAACTTACATCTGCAATCTCTCCTGGTTCTCCTTTCTGGCCCTGGTTGATAAAAGAAAACAGATTAGATAAGTCGTCTCACGTTATATTTACTCTTGTAATAAACTCTTGGTTTTCTGACTCACCTTAACACCGACTGTCTCTGATGTTGCAGAGAGAGAGAATAAAAGAAAAGCTTAATTAAAAGTCAGATTTTTGGTGAAATGTTTCAAACACGTGACCGATTTCAAATCTAGTGTGATGTTCTTGGGCAAAACCCCGAGGACGCTGCAGAGACCAAACAGCACTCACCAACCCAAAGACAACGAGCCCATCCAGACGACATTAATGATGCAAGGCAGGAAGCAGAAGCAGGCACGAGCACAAAGTTTATTAAAACCATTAATGTAAAGTGTTAAGTCCTACTCATGTCCCATGAACGTCACTGAGATGAGTTTACAAAATGCACTTTTATAGTTATACATTTAAAAAAATGAGAAGAAATGTGTAAAAATAACTCTTTTGACTAAAATGAACCGTAGCCAAATGTCACCAATTGTGTTTCAAATTACTGTGACCCTCTTTTTTTTTTTAAACCACATATTTCTTTAAGAAAGGATGATTAAGTAATTGTTAACAATAAGACATCAAAGTGATGCTGAAACAAATTATGAAAAACTAAAACTTGATCGTGTTCCTCTCCATCATACATAATAAACCTACAAATGCTTGAGGAAACTGTAGATTTAAATAAAACATCATAAAAGATGGGTTTAATCTATGAATTGTGACTCAGTTCATAGTTCATCTCAGCTTCGTGTTAAAGTGAAGAAGCTCTTCTTCAGGTGGAGAGTAGATGGAAACATCTCAGGATCCAGATCTTTCATTGGGATTGTTAGAATCCTGACCATGTTGCTCATCTTGCCTCCATAAATAACACGTATGGGCCAACCAGGGAACCATTCATGGAGGTGAAACAGTGACAAACCATCAGGCTACAACTGGAGCAGCCACATCTGTTATCAGTGTCTTCACTTGGCCTGATCGGACACAATGTTCGACTCCAGAAATGGTCCCCGGGTCAAAAGTCCTAGCCGGGATGGAAATGAAGGCAAGCGAAAAGAGTAATTTATTTATAGGTGTGTGAATAAATAAATTACAACCGATGGGGGCAGTGGCATCAGCAGGGCAGACGGGGCAGCATTCTCCGAATGGGATGATAGGGTTGGTGCACTCTTTCATGTCCTCGCAGATTATCTCATCACACAGAACCGCTCCGCTGTCACACACACAGACACGGCAGGGCTCTGGCTTCCACACATCCTTATCATTATACTGCTGGGCATCCTGGATGCAGCCACCTGCCTCCTCTGAAGAGACCAGCAGGGGGTGGAAGGACAGGGAGGGGGGACAGCAGTGATGAGCGAGTACATTTGGTTGTTGGAGAAGGAATTAGACACAGAAAAGTGGAGATTTGTTTAAAAAAAAGAGAATATTTTGTTGAATTCACACCAAGAAGGTAAGGATTAGGGGTATGGTATAGATCAAAGGGTGAAATGAGGAAGTGGGAGGGGCAACATGAGTGAAGGAGGAGGGGTTAGTAGGTCCAGGGGAGGGGCGTAGAAGCAGAAATAAGTCATTTTGTATAAATCTGAAGTGAAAATCTGAAGTACTCTGCATAAAAAGGCAAAAATATTATTGCATAAATTAATACAATTATATGTTTGTTTTTTACAAATATAGACAACTTTTCCTCTTTTGATGCTAATGAAAATTTTACTTAAAAATCCACATTTACATCATTACCTGTGAAGCACATCTTCAGTTCAGAGTATAAAATTCAAGGGACATAACAAAAAGTGTTACAAGCTTTTTATAAAATTAATTTCTTCTCTGCATAAAAACCCGTGTGAACACAATCCACAGTTACCAGCTGTATCTGAAGACTGAGGCATTTCACAGCGCTGGCTGAGTGCACTCAAACTGCAGACGGGCCATGCAGCTCACATGAATGAACCTCTCTTATAGGGATACTGAGCCCAATTGACAAGCCGGTGCCGTAAATAAACAAAGGGTCCTTCTAATAGCTCTCCATTTGGGTCACGTCGCTGTGTTAAATCCAAGTGCAAACACTTTGGAGATGTAAGAAAGGGTGATTTGTTTAATGATGGGAACTGTGGTGCCACAAATTACATATATGCTTCTTTTTTTTACCTCATACATGGTATATAAGTCTAGTAGAATCGCTAGAAACTAATCCTTTTTACTGAAATATGTTGTCTAAACCTTTGGAACAGCACTATGCTGAAAGTTAGGAAATGAAAGATCTGTGATTGAAAGCAGTAAAACTAATATCTATCATCAGCTGACCCCCTGCTGTGCACCTTCCTGCTACCCTTTGAGCCTTGTAGCCTGGGGTTAAACACCGTCTAACCCTCATCACTATTTGTCATAAAAATTCTAGAGTTGCACCAGCCAAACTGTCCAAGCAAGGAAACTTATAAAAACCTTACACAAACAGTTTTAAACACTTGTCAACCATGTCCAACAGGTGTCTCAATAGGCTCTGGTGATAACAAACCTGGTTCTTCATCATACTGGTTCCCAACCCTGGTCCTTGAGGAACACCATCCTGCATGCTTAAGTTGTTTCCCTGCTCCAACACACCTGATTCAATGAGTTAATTACTTCCTCATGTTCTGCAGAAGTCTGCTAACCATCCATTTATTCAAATCAGGTGTGCTGGAGCAGAGAAACAACTAAAACATGCAGGATGGTGTTCCTCAAGGATCAGGGTTGGGAACCTTTGCAAGTCTGTCACATACAGATGTGCATTTACAGCCTGATCTATCCTACATTGGCAAGGTATTTATTCTGAGCACTCTGTGAATGACACATGAAACAACCAACCACAGCAGAACTGCGTTCATTCATTTGGCATTAAGCTTAGCCCCTTTATAAACCTCCAGTGAAACCATGTGAAGGTACAAGTCGTCAAAGATTTTCAAAGACAAACATTGAAAGAGACAAATTTTTCAAAACGCTGTGAACTTACGGTCGTCCTCCTCCTGACATCTGACCACAGATAGTAAAACTACTTGGGATGCTACAAGTAGCAGAACAGTTCTTGAGTCCACAAAGCTGAACATGTCTAAATATTAGACATGCAGGAGCTTGGGTGAGGAATGAAGGGATGCTGATGGAGACCAGGCGCTCAGTCAGGTGCTGTGTTTGAGGTATGCGTTCCCAGAGACTTATAGCACCATGCAGTCAAACCCTCCAAACACTAAGTGGAATCCAACGTGGGGCCCCAGCTGGTACTCTGCACCCAGCTCGACAGGGCAAGCACTGTGGTTTTTATGTCCACTGAGCCTTGTATGGATCTTCGTATATTCCTAAAATGCTAGTCCTTCCCCCAGACCCCCTGTGAGGCTGAAACCTGAACCTTCACTCCCTCCCCTCTTAATCTAGCTTGCTCATGAGGATGCTTAAAAAACTTATTTCTCTTCTGACCTGGCCAGGAGCTGCACCTTTACTTTCACATGAAACGACAGCAGAACGCGGGTCATACTCTGACTCGACTAAAGCCTTCTTGAACAAAAAGATAAGAAAGTTTTGTTCAGATTAGCTCTACGTTGTTGTGCAACTTAAATGTTGGTCAAATAAGCAATTATTGTGGCTTTATGACATTTAGGACATGAGAAGAAACTGTTTTATGCCAATGTTGGCAGCTATATAGAAAGACATCACTGGCTTGGCAAGATTTAAGTTTATGGATTACGATTAATCTCCAAACTTTAGACAACAAGAATCTCGTCAGTTTGGAAAAAATATGTTTAAGAAGAACTCATGAGGTTTAGTTAAACTGTGGCCTGAGTTAAAGTTCAGCATGTCAGCCTCATGTTTTTGTCCTACTGTCACCAAAATGTAGATATGGGTCTACAATCAATCTGTAATATATATTTTATTCAGTTCATATGTAGCAATCCTCTGTTTTTTATATTTTTCTTTCAAGCAGTCAGACTTTCTAATAAACATCTGAAGTATTCTTGACCTGCATGTATTCAGGTTTTCTAAAGGATTTCTTTAGGTGTTTCTACTCTGACTGATAAATCATTCAGGTATAAAAAAAGACTCCTGAATCAAAGAACGAACCACTGTCAACACAGGACAGACAACTTAGCAAATAAAACTATTTTAAACTGGATCTTTAGGTCCTTTGTTGCAAAAAAAACATTTTTTTTAAATAAAGTTCACATTTCTTAATTTGAATCTACGATAAATATTTAAAAAGATAAATAACAGTTTGACTAGCAGAAAATAATATTTTAGGGCCAGCAGGGAGCTGTAAACCTGACATTCAGTAGATGATCATCTGAAGAATGAATCATCTGTTTTAGGTCTTTGTTGGAATATTTCATGTTCCCTAAAGATATTAGATATTGTTCATCTGCTGTAAATGTTTGTTTAATGGCTTTGCTCTTCTTCTTTTGTCCTCAGTTTGTCCACTTTAAATGACACACTGCACATTTTGCAGTCGGGCTCAGGTTCAAGAACTGGACTGAAATTGAGTGAAAAAGCCACCAATGTCAAAAGAAAGTTTTTAGAAAGTCTTGACTGAGATACTTAAAAAGATAAGAAGACTGTCTGTCTTGGAAGTAAAAAGTAAGTTAGAGGTGATTTAAAATGTTGTTTATTGTGAAACTGAGCCACACGTGTCACAGACCTCCACAGTAGATAGACCCAAACAAGTTGATTCAGAATGGGTCTTTGTCATGAGGAGGGGCACAGTAAGTCAAAGGTCATGACCTTGTTGAGTTGTCCTCATTACGCATGTTGGAAATAAAAGCTTTTCATAGTTCAACATTACCAGTATTCTACGACAGATTACAATTAAATAAAGGACAAAAATGTAAGAAAAAACAGATTCTGTAGCAGCACATGGGGGTTTTGTGCTGCTTTGTCATTTTTATTTGGCTCCCCATAGATAAAATCGATTAATTCAGAGGCAACTAATTTAAACACAAACATACAGCCAGTGTTATAGTTGAAACATAAATCACATTAAACACAAGTACAATCCACGCTGCCACTCAGGACTAGCAAAGTGCTTTCAGTTCATATCACTGTTCTGTCACCAAGGAAAGACAAAAGTTCACAGGATGTGGCTTTGATTTGAGGAATAACTGCTGCTCTGTCACACTACAAATGTTTATATCAGTTTAGAATAAGACAAAGACTTCTGCTTAGTGAGCGAACACAAAACAAAGCTACCCTGGAATCTGAATCCATGAACAGTTAATAAAACGTTAGAAGATCCGCTGGTTGTAACCCTGATCAAACAGATGTGTTCAATAAATCACACGACACATTTAAAACATCAGAGAAGAGCTGCAAATGTCTCCCCTCCACACAGAGAGCACCTGGAATGGCGTTTGAGTAGTGTCGCTAAATGTCAGCCAAACTTCGGCTGCAGATCTGTGTCGGTGAGCGGCACGAACACTGAGGCTAGTTTCAGCCCAGCACAGCCTCTTCCTCAGGTGCTCTGACTGTATCCTGCTTTCTGCCGGCTCCAGCCACACAATAGGCCTCTGTGTGCACGGCCGGCAGGAATGCTGCGAGATGGCAGGGCAGTGGGATAGCTGCAGGGTGAGGATGGGGGGTTGGTGTGTGAGGAAGGGCGTGGAGGCTCCAAGGATGAAAAAGAGGAGGTGGAGGAGCGGTGCTGAGGGTAGAAGGGGTGGCAGGGATGGAGGGGCTGATCTAAATACTGTACAGAGGCTCACAGAGGCTCCAGGGGTCTACAGGGTGTCCAGGTTTCAGCACAGTGACCGTATTAGAGCGATGGCTGCGGGCCTCGTGTGCAAACACAAACGGGTGATGGGGGGGGGGGGGGGGTGTCAACAGCTACCTGCAGGAAAGGAGGAACTGAACTGATCTGAAACAGGGTTCCACAATGTATCTTGGCCTTCATAAACCGTAAGGATGTGCTTTTTTTAAGGCTGGAACAAAATGCATTAAATAAACAGATAAATAAAATGAAATTAATAGTTTTTATTTATAACTCATTTACACTCAGCTGACACACAGGTGTCTCCAACAGCCTGTGATGGTCACTGAACACCTGAAAACAGTGTTGTGTGGAGGGAAAAAACTAATTACTTATCACTTTAAACCTAATCTGTTCTTTTCGTATTGTCAGCGTTACTGTTAAATATTGATCTGGATGTTAACTTGTTAGTTTTAACGTGTATTTTAGTGAAGGAGTCATGTGGTGTTGGTGTCCAGGAAACATCTCAACAACGCAGGAGGTGTTTATGCTATTTAGAGCTTTTAAAACTATAAGAAGCATTTATAAAACACAGTCTTTGTGTAAGTGGAGGCCAGTGAGGAGATTTGAAGATAGGTGTGATATGTTCATACTTGTAGGTTTTGGTCAGTAGTTTTACTGGAGCGTTCAGAATATTCATTTCAAATAGTGCGTGTTTTCTAGTCCTTTAAAAAGATTTTTACAAAAGTCTAGCCCAGCTCAAATTAAAGCATGATTTTTACACTGAGTCAGGTTGTGTTAGGACTAGGGGTTGAATAGACTAGTCGACTAGTCGATGCTAGGACATCTCATGAATTTTTAAATTTCACGCCAACTAGTCGCGGTCAGTGCGTGTGTCACGAGCTGGGCCGCAGGCTAAAAAACAGATTCTTCCAAGCAAATGGAAGGCGAGGAGCAGGCCAAGTCTTCCCAAACAGGTAGAAATTCATCAACAGTGTGGAAGTGTTTCACTAAAGATGATGATGTGTTTAGTTTTATTTTATTTAATTCACTAAATAAAATGAAAACAGAAGTGCACTCCACCAGCGAATCCACCACCGTGCATCCCACTGTGTGTGTATTAGTTGCTGTACACACCGCCGGTGTGGACCACGCACCACCGCCGGTAGATAGTTTTTATTTTTATTGTATTTAATCCACTAAATAAATAAAAACAGGGGTGCGCATCACTGGAGAATCCACCGAGCATCACCCCCAGTTGATAATCCACAACAGCAGCGGTGGTTTATTTTATTTAGTGGATTAAATAAAATAAAACTAACTTTTGCAGTTAATTAATATTTTTGGTTTTCCTGTTACTTATTTGCAGTATGATAAATGGTAGGAGCATCAATATAAGCTCCCGATGTTTTGTTGTTCTTTTTTTTTGTAAATAATAAATTACCATTTTTTTAGCTTCTTGAGTTTCTATGACGTCATCAACTAGTCGTCGTCGACGCGACTATTATCATGTTGGTGTCGACTTTAAAAAATATGTAGTCGTTAGTCGTTCATCCTCTAGTTAGGACAAATCCAACTTTTGTTTCATTCCTAAAATGATTATGTGTAGGCTTTGTTTCCTTATATTTGTATTGTAAGAACAAAAGTACCTGTACACACTTGACCCACAAGTACATGCACTTTAATATTGAGTTGGTCTTCATTTTACAGCTTTAATAACAACCACTCTTCTTGGAAGGTTGTCCACAAAATGTTGGATTGGCAAATTTTGCCCATTCATTCTGTAGATCATTTATGAGCGCCAGCCCTAGACCTGACAAGCAGGTGTGGCTTGAGTCTTCAATACAGTTTAGCCCATAGGTCATCATAGGTGCTTGGTGAGGTTGAGGTCAGGACTCTGAGGACCAGTCACATTCCTCCTTACTGAATTCATCTTGTTTTTATGGTCCTTTCTTTGTGCCCTGGTGTACATTCATGTTGGAATAGAAAAGAGCTTTCTCTGAAGTGCTGTCACAACGTTCAAAGCATTTTGCTCAAAACATCTTCATGTGACAAAGCATTAAGTTGCACATTACTAGAGACAAGGGGGTCCAGAATAAATCCTGAAAACAGCTCCAAACCCTTATTCCTCCTTCATCAAACAGCACAGTTGGCATATTTCAATTCAATTTTATTTAGTTATATAACGCAAAGTCACAACAGAAGTCGTCTCAGGGCACTGAACAAAAACATTCATGTTGAATCCAACATTTTTCAGTCAGGTCATCTGGACAGTTTCTTTTATTTGCGCTGAAACGTTTCGCCTTCGATCCGGAAGGCTTCATCAGTCAAGAAAACACACAACAAAACTGATTCTTCCCCCAACAGCTTACTCCAAAGTGGAACAAACCAGTTCTGCTTGTGATAAGATGGTCTCTTTGGTACACCCCCTCCTCCATTGCCAGCCCTCTTCCTTGTTGACAGTCTTGTTAAACTGGTTGAAAACAATAAAGACCATGCTCAATAAGCCTGGCCTGTCCAGATGACCTGACTGAAAAATGTTGGATTGTATACCTGGATTATTGAGCATGGACTTTGTTATTCATGTTG